GAAATATTTCAATTGTCCCATGTCATCTTCATTATTCAGTTTCTTTCAAGAAAATACAAAATGTGAATCAAGTTTTTTCGCAGATACATGTACGCGTCGCGTACCTATTTTTTTATCATGTTTTCCAACTTATCTTGCAAATTATTTACCGCATCGTATTGCTTTGTGCCATCATCACTTGGTGTCTTAAATTTCGCCGCTTCCTTTGTATGCCCTTCCTGTATGTTGTCATTTTTTCATTTACTTTCGCGTCAACATTATACTCGGTTACACCGTGCTTGCCGTATATACTCACTTTTTACGATCATATACAAGATTTCCAACAACTATTTGTTGTATTGTGTTGCCACTTGCTGGCGCACTCTTAAGTCGTCCACGACTCGTGAAACATTCTTTACAAGTTGTCACGAGTCGTGAAATTTCACAGATTTAACGAGTCGTACGAATTTCGTGAAGTTCACCACTTGGCTGGTGCACTCTTAAGTCCTTCACGACTTGTGAAACATTCATTACAAGTTGTAACGAGTCGTGAAATTTCACGGATTTAACGAGTCGTACGAATTTCGTGAGGTTCACCACTTGGCTGGTGCACTCTTAAGTCCTCCACGACTCGTGAAATATTCCTCACAAGTTGTCACGAGTCGTGAAATTTCACGGATTTAACGAGTCGTACGAATTTCGTAAAGTTCACCACTTGGCTCCTGCACTCTTAAGTCCTCCACGACTCGTGAAATATTCCTCACAAGTTGTCACGAGTCGTGAAATTTCACGGATTTAACGAGTCGTACGAATTTCGTGAGGTTCACCACTTGGCTGGTGCACTCTTAAGTCCTTCACGACTCGTGAAATATTCCTCACAAGTTGTCACGAGTCGTGAAATTTCACGGATTTAACGAGTCGTACGAATTTCGTGAAGTTCACCACTTGGCTGGGCGCACTCTTAAGTCCTTCACCACTCGTGAAACATTCATTACAAGTTGTAACGAGTCGTGAAATTTCACGGATTTAACGAGTCGTACGAATTTCGTCAGGTTCACCACTTGGCTGGGCGCACTCTTAAGTCCTTCACCACTCGTGAAACATTCATTACAAGTTGTAACGAGTCGTGAAATTTCACGGATTTAACGAGTCGTACGAATTTCGTCTGGTTCACCACTTGGCTGGGTGTACTCTTAAGTCCTTCACCACTCGTGAAACATTCCTTACAAGTTGTCACGAGTCGTGAAATTTCACGGATTTAACGAGTCGTACGAATTTCGTGAAGTTCACCACTTGGCTGGGCGCACTCTTAAGTCCTTCACCACTCGTGAAACATTCATTACAAGTTGTAACGAGTCGTGAAATTTCACGGATTTAACGAGTCGTACGAATTTCGTGAGGTTCACCACTTGGCTGGGTGCACTCTTAAGTCCTTCACCACTCGTGAAACATTCCTTACAAGTTGTAACGAGTCGTGAAATTTCACGGATTTAACGAGTCGTACGAATTTCGTCAGGTTCACCACTTGGCTGGGCGCACTCTTAAGTCTTTCACCACTCGTGAAACATTCATTCCAAGTTGTAACGAGTCGTGAAATTTCACGGATTTAACGAGTCGTACGAATTTCGTCAGGTTCACCACTTGGCTGGGCGCACTCTTAAGTCTTTCACCACTCGTGAAACATTCATTACAAGTTGTAACGAGTCGTGAAATTTCACGGATTTAACGAGTCGTACGAATTTCGTGAAGTTCACCACTTGGCTGGGTGCACTCTTAAGTCCTTCACGACTCGTGAAACATTCATTACAAGTTGTAACGAGTCGTGATATTTAACGAGTCGTACGAATTTCGTGAAGTTCACCACTTGGCTCCTGCACTCTTAAGTCCTTCACCACTCGTGAAACATTCCTTACAAGTTGTAACGAGTCGTGAAATTTCACGGATTTAACGAGTCGTACGAATTTCGTGAAGTTCACCACTTGGCTGGGTGCACTCTTAAGTCCTTCACGACTCGTGAAATATTCCTTACAAGTTGTAACGAGTCGTGAAATGCTGCTGTATTGGGCAACCATCGGCCACGGTGGGATTCGAACCTACGACCTTTGGAACACTAGCACAATGCTCTTCCAACTGAGCTACGCGGTCAGGACGGTTCGAGTAAGTGATATTTCGGAACAGAATCTAGTTCCTTCAATACCAATGTATTCTAGTAATATGAATTTTTTCTGTGTTGGTGTAGTGTACTCAGGTGAATATGATATTTGTGGTGTTACTCTGAGTGCATATCGACACCGGGCGAGCTTGAAAAATATGCCCGGCCACGGTGGGATTCGAACCTACGACCTTTGGAACACTAGCCCAATGCTCTTCCAACTGAGCTACGTGTTCAGGACGGTTCGAACCGTCCTGACTACGTAGCTCAGTTGGAAGAGCATTGGGCTAGTGTTCCAAAGGTCGTAGGCTCGAATCCCACCGTGGAATTCATGACTATCATCTTCATCATCAGTTTGTCTGCATCGTCATCGTCATCATCAACTCCGTCAGTTTCACTTGCCTCAGTCCCAGAAAACACTTTAAAAGCTTTCACGAAGTTAGAACCATTGTCAGTCGTCGTACGACAAACCTTTGAACGAATGCCATATTCTGAATGAATTTCGTTAAGAGAATTTGCCAACAAAGCATGCGAATGGCTGCCACGAAGGCGTCTACAAGCCAGAGCTGCCGACTGCCTTTTAAGATCTTTGCCGAACCAGTGCGCTGTCACACCAATATAGGACTTTGCGCTGGATGTCCAACAGTCCGTTGTTGTTGCAACATGAGTAACATTTAAGAATTCTTTGCAGAGATTTTCTTTTGTTGTCTTTGCCATGCCATCAAGTTTTAACTTCACAGTTTTGCGAGTCGGCACAGTGCAATTCGGTTGCAAGGTTTTAATAAGCGAACAAAACGACGGGTTTTCAACAATGGAAAAAGGCATGCAAGCGCCACAAATGAACTCAAGGATAGCGGAGTTGACAGTTATTTGGTTTGCATTGTTTGCTGGATTGAAATTGAGCTTTGTCTGCTTAGCTGGTTTTGTGGAAGCCCCACATACACTCGCTTTTCGTTTTGATGATCTTGCCGTATTCATCAATTCGGTGTATTGTTCGACTTTACGAGGATGTTTTCTCTAAAACTGAAGGATAAAATAGCTAAAAACTAACTAAAAAGATAAAGCTCCGCCAAAAAGAAAATACAGCAACAATATGTTCAATATTGGCATCACTGATTACTTACCACTAAGTGTGTTTTCAGGTTACTTGAAGAAGTGTGATTCGTTGATATCGTTTGCGTCTTTGGGCAACAGATAAGACACAAAAACACATAACCTGATTTAATCTTTTCTTTAACTTTGAATAGAGTAGACAATTGCGGCCATGGGTTTGCGACCCTGGGTGGTGCTTGCTGCTGTTCTTCCAGTGACTAATAATATAATAATATTACTGATATACGAAAGAACTAAATGTAGTCATGACTCACAACTCACAAGTCAATTACTGTAAGAACAGAATTTGTTTGGCACCAATATTGTTCAACTGATAAACTTATGAGTTATAATTATCATAAAATAATAAAATATTAAAATAATTATCACTCATTTATTAAATGGTCATGTACTTGATGCATGTTCAAATATTCAATTTCTTACAGAAGTTCATATCAAATTATAATAAATAAAGGATGGTTGTTATATACAAATTTAAAGCAAACTGCATAGTGCACAAGTAACTGAAGTCAGCAACATTTTGTATCCAGGTGGCAGGTGCATGGGAAAGGGATTAATCAGATGATATGATATATTCAGCAAACATGATAATTAATATAAAGCATTTGCCTGTGAAATTGAATACAGTAATTCCCTCTCACTTTTGTTTACTACATGCATTTTCTGAGAAATATTTCAGCTATCAAAGTAAAGTTCAGTCTTTCAGAGGGATGAACATTGAATACAGAGGATAAATACTACTTTCACAATTTTTT